ATTCAGACAGTATCTGGCAGCTTTAATAGAACTCGGCAGCTTAGCCTTTTTTACATTTTCCACAGCTGTAAAAGGTCTCCAATAAAGGGCTGACAGAGCTTCACAAGAGCAGTGAGACAGAAATTGGGAAAATTATACAAGTTATTTTTTTTTATTTGCCATCCATCAATTTCATCATTTCTCTCCCACCAGCACATAGACTGCGTCTGGCAACACTTCCTTCTCAACTCTTTCTTTAAAAAAAACAACAATGTTAATCTCCTAAACCTCCTTGCAGCTGACCTCGCCCCCTAAATCAGCGGTCCCCAACCCACGGGCCTCGGACCGGTACCGGTCCGTGAGTCGTTTGGTACCGGGCCGCGAGAGATGAGGCTCAGGTGTGAAATGTATAGTTTTCAGGGTTTTTATCGGTTTTCAGCGTTATTTTGTTATCGTTTTTAGCGTTTACTCGGTTTTCCTTGGTCTTTTCACGTGTGTTATGAATAAATTTTCTTTTTTTTCGGTACCAGTACAAGTTTTATTTTGTTGTATTTATCCGTGACACCTTAAAGGCCGGTCCATGAAAATATTGTCGGGCATAAACCGGTCCGTGGCGCAAAAAAGGTTGGGGACCTCTGCCCTAAATGGTCAAGCCTTTATGGATTGGACCACCAGTCCTTGTGGAATAGCTTCAGCAATGCATACATAACACACTTTTGGTATAACACAAGATTAGTGGTGGAGGTATGTGTATGCTACATGTATAAACTACAGCATTTTAAGATACCAATATCATAGCAACAATAGCTTTTTAGATGTTTTAACTTGTTTTCTTAAATAATGAAAGTTCTCAAAAGTTAACAGACATTGTGATATCCCCTCAAAAATGTTAAGCCAAATGGGAGATGCTACACCTGAACTCATGTAATTTCATAATGGAAGGCCAAATTAATTCCAAACTGGGTGTGAGAGTGGACTGAGGCTTCCTCTATAGGGGAAAAAAAGTTAACATTGTGATCTCTTGATGAAATAGAGCTCTACAAACACAGAAGTACAATGGGTGAACATTTCAAATGAGAATCTGCAATGAATGTGCTCATATACGTTTCAACTGTATTAGGTAGGATTGTCCCAGAATCACTAAACAGGATTTGCTGGAAAGGTCTCACTGTGCTGAATCCAGTAATATACGATATTGGTTAGGCTAATTCAGACTTTCTGCCTGAAAATAGAAAATATTTTTTCTTTTGGTATGTCAGTTTGAAAATACAGTAGTAAGTGCTTCACCTCCTATTGTACCTACTTCAAATCTAGCAAAAGAGCTTGATTGAGCCAGACTGATATTTTTCTGGGAGTACAGAGAAATGAGGGGGATGTACAGTAATAAACAATTTTTTTAAATGTGTTTGCATGCGTAACATTGCTATTCTCAGTGGAAATAGCCATATTAGTATTGGTGGTAGTAGTATGTTCACAAGAGACCCTCTCAGACTGAGATGCACTCTACCTCTTGTGTGCACAGTCCCCAAAGCAGATGGCGAAACTTGGGAAAGTAGGACAAGAATCTAAAAGTCGAATAAAAGTTTTTCTTTGTGATCCTACAACCTTTCTTCAAATAACAACACTATTTAGAGGATACATCTGAGCCACTAAAAACAGCCCTGCTCTGCTCAGGTCTCCTAATCCATTACACGGAGTTTCACGAAGTTGGTTACAACTAATACTCCTGCCCTGGCCCCGATGTTTCACTTCACCGACTTTGGCAATTAAATCCTCACCTGGCAAAGATGACTCTGTCGTACAAGCTGAACATGCGTGTGGAATGTGTGCCTGATGCGAGGGGGCAAACTGAGAGAATGAGGAAGGGGAAGTAACACTCGCATCTGAGTGGGGAACACCTTTGGCAGCTTAACACTAATCACTAACCCTCTTCCCCATCCTCTCCCTCTCAGTGACAACAAAATGATCTAATTGTAACTGAGGTAAGAAGTCAAGAAGAGCTGTAATGTCAAGGAAAGAACGACAGACAAAAAAATACAAAAGAAAGAAAGAAATCAATGAAGCAAATAAGAAAGATAGAAGAAAGAGCGGAAGAGATAAAAGAGACACGAAGGGAGGTGTGAGAAGAGAAGAAGAGATGAAGAAGAGGATGTTTAAGAGGCAAAGAGGGAGTGGGAGGATAGCCGTAATTATCCTCTCTGTCTGCCACTGATGAAACACTGCCTATTGTGTTGTCATTGTTTCACTGCTGTGGCTCATCTGCGTGTTTGTTTATCTGGGTTATTAACAAGGTCGGCTCCCCAGTCCTCAGTCGGCTGAACTCATTGTTCAGTCACATTGAGTGTGGCCCGCACTTGAGTACAAGAGATACATGTGGCACAACCCACTCACACACACACAAACAAAATGCAGACAAACAGGGCATCTCTCACATACACATGACAGAAAATAATGCAAATATATAACCACAAGGCTGTGTAGTTTTCTATTGTATTACATCTGAAATTACTCAAATCACACTGCTCATGTTTTATTTGCTGCAAAAGGAAGAGGCAGACAAAACATTTCTCCTGCTGAGATTGCTCTGGGAAGCTATTCACAAAGATTATTTTTCTACAGGCAACATTTAAGTAGCTCCTACTGTCACACTACACTTGCGTCATGCTGCGACAACCGTGTACAATCGTTGTCGGCATTATGTTCACCGACAGCACTATACACATTCCATAATGTAAGCCTTTCTTATCTTTTCTTTTTTCTTGAGCAAGTTTTGGCCTCAAAATTGGATTGCAAGCAGATCTAAATAAGAAGCTGTGGGAGCCGGCGGAGAATATGTTACCACAGCCTTCGCAGAGGCTGCGAAGAAGTCGGGAAATAGGTGAAGAGGATGGGTTAAAGCAGCCTGAAAAGCAATAGCACAAGTTCTGGTCACTGACAAAATATAAGCGGAATGACTGAAGATGCTGCATGAATAATAAACAACTCACTAACAAGTAAATACACTCATGTCCAAGGGTCAAAGGACACAAGCTCACTCTTTTGTGATACTCTTAATCTAAGTTCAAAGCACACAGAGAATTTTCAGTCCATGTCCAAGCACGGACATCTAGACCTCCCAGAATCAGAGAGCACATTTTGCCCCTTGGGCTACAGATAAGGCAACTATATATCAACATTAAAGCTTTAAAAGATTATAGCTACTGGCCTTTGACATCAAAATTAATCTTGACCAAGCCGTTCAGCGTAGCTTTCAAAAATACTATTGCGGGGCACGAGGTACTCCAGTGCTTTGACAGAGCACCCCTTTAAATGTCAGAGGAGAAGAAAAATCAACAAAAAAGGGCATTTTTGAGAGCAAGAGAGAAAAAAACAATAACAATGACACCATGTTTGTGTGTGTGTGTGTGTGTGTGTGTGTGTGTGTGTGTGTGTGTGTGTGTGTGTGTGTGTGTGTGTGTGTTAGAGGAAGAGCATTGGAGAGTGAAATAAAGACAGCCAGACATGATTAATTTGTCAGTAGGGAGGAGGGAAAAAAGGCAGAATAGCTAGTCTAGGAAAACCACACACATAGAAAACTGTGGGAAAAGCAAAGTACTATAAGAGGAAAACTCTTAATGAACCCAGACTTGCTAAAGGTGCTAAACCTGTCAGTGTGCTACCGAGAGCTTCGATACCAACTAAAAAGACCAAGGAAAAAAAATCTGTTTCTTCCTGGTATTTGTTTACTCTGTGTTCTCTTTTATTTTTACTTCTCAAAAAAATGAAACAAACTCAGAGCTAATCTTTAGGAGCAATTGCAAGCTCTGGAAAGTAACATGCTGCTATCTCAACAAGGCTGCAAAACAAGAGCGTAGGAAATGGTCTTCACTCTGGTGATGACACAGTAATGTAGATTAAAGCAGGAAGAGTGGAATGTGGTGGCCAGTACAGATTACTGATGAAACAAGCAAAAAGAACAGAGATAAAAATCACAAGAGAAATCTGTTTTGATTTTTTTTTGTTTTGTTTTTGTTTTTGTTGGGTTTTTTTTAATGTTTTTGAGCATTAACACACACCAGGTACTACAGGTCACAGAAAGACGCTCCCACCACGGAGACTGTTCCCATCAAGCTCTGCTAGCCCTTCTTTGATGGTTACCATAGCAACTGTTAAACCATAAGCTCCTGTGGCAAGCAGGGACCTTCTATAGTTGGTAAGCTTGCTTGTTTTGTCTTTTATTCTTCACCTGTAGTCGGTATAAGCCAATTTAAAAACATTTGTCCACTCTTAATAATCATGAGTTTGGCCATACCATGTGTTACAGTGAAGCAGATATCAATCTTAAAATTATTTCCTTTTGTGTCACAGTGCTTATATCTGCCTCTTTGTGTGAGTGGGTGTGTGCGTGTGTCTGTGCATCACACCCTGTTAGCTGAGAGCAGGTCAATTAAGGGAGTGTTTACTAGGCACACTGCCTGTGGCACTCCCACCATTGAACCAATACTTGGCTGCCACACATCACGCTGTGCTGGCTATGATAAACACAGCGAACACATATCTATCCATCTGCCACCTGTCTATCTGTGCGCCTCTATGTCTACTTCCTTCTTCCAATAAATCTCCTTCTCCATCACTCCGACATTAAGACCAACGTCGCAAGTCCCTGTTCAGTGACATCTAGCTATTAAGAGTGGAGGACAGTGTGACAAGCTTGCTGACAACCCAATAAGCTGTGCTCCACAGAGAGAGCACAGTATAGTGATTTAACCCCTCCAGCCAGCAGCTGGAAAAGCGTTCTCATGCTTTTTAGATTGTTACCTGAAGCTAAAGATTTGAACGACCTCACACAAACACCTATATTTTTTTTTCCTTTACATTATTCTTTGCATTAAATAAACTGTCAAATTATGTTTTATCAAATAGAGGTCAGCAATATGCTGTATGTATGCACTCATCATTGTATCCCAAAGTGAGGTCTGATGGTCACGACTGCACAGAAAAAATGTTTTTTTTAAATTGATGAATTGATGTTTCAGACTCACAGCATGGTTTGGTGGTCTCCAGTACGTCTGGGTGGCCTTATCATAGTGGTGCTGCATACGTTTGTCCACCTGTCTGTCGCTCTGTCTTAGTGAAGAAGGAGCCCTCTGGTGGTGGCACTGACACTTGACCTGCTGGCCTGTAGCAGACTGAGGGAAAGGCGGGAAGAAAGGAGGGAAGGAAGGCCAAGAAAGGGTTTTAACTCTGGTGACTTCTTTTCAAGCCTCTGCTCTCACGCTCTTTAAAAGCTTGCCACTTTATATGCAGTCAAATAAAAGTACTCAGAGAGAAAACTGAATAGGCCTTAATTAATATACTGAAAGCAAGTCCCCTTTTACTACAACACCCACTGTGCACTTGGATTCAGCTCACTTCAACTTTTAAATAATAACTGGGTTGAACTTAAAAGAAAACATCTCACTAGAAAGTTAATTGAAGCTTTAAGAAAAAAAAGATAAGTTTTTTTTTTTCCCACTGGGATGAATCACAAACATTTAGCATCACCAGTCAAAAACCTAACTGATGTGCTGCCACACATAGCAAAAAGCTAAATATATCAGATGTAATCACTTGAATGAACAGAAAAAAGGGTCTTCAGCAAGGGTTCATTTTTAAATTGATAAATGTAATTTACTGTTAAAAAAAATATATATATATTTCTCATCCAAAGCAATAAAATTCTATCCACTTTTTTTTCCAGACGATTTGAATGTGCATGAAAACTGGGAGCCAGCAAATTATCACCCTGCTCTGATTAAAATTGATGCACATTAGGGAAAACCAAGACCAGGTTGTAAATGGCTACAATTACCTTTACATAGTAATTAAAATATCCTGCAGTAAATTAAACTCGCTGACATTTACTTTAAGCACATGTTCACCCAATATTGCCTCCTTTTTTCATCAGTCAAAACCTTTCCTGACAAACCACTTTCCTAACCTTCTTTTTAATTCAAACGATTAACTCAATCAATTATTGAATCAGAAGGTCAGAGCAACTAATGATGTGCACCACATTACATTTTTGCTTAAAAAAAACCAAAACTTGAGCTTGATATCACATTTTTTTCATATGTGGCTAAATAGCAAAGAAATTTTGGCTGTGAAAAGGCATGAAAGGATCTGACATGAATCGCAGGTGTTTGCCAGCCTTGGTAAAAACTTCAGTGCAGTGAGCATGAGCAGTCTACCTCAAGTGCAGCAGAAGACGCCTTCAAAGCTACATACTGTCAAGCAACACTGGGAAATCAGTTTTTTATCTTTGATAGTTCCACTTTCCTCTCTCCCATTATTTCATTTTCACTCCCATTTTCTCCTCTTAGCCTTAAATGTACACAAACACACACATAGATACACACTGTATACAGCAAGAAACCGTCTCCCATCCACACGCAGCTCCTCTATTGTTTTCTCATTACTGCACTATGTTCAATTTACTCATTTTTTTCCACATGTCTGTTTCTCAGCACTTTCTAATGCTTTACCTCCCTCAACTTTACTTGAATCTTTACCAACTTTAATATTACCCCCTACCCAATTTCAAGGACATAAAGCAGGTCCAGTCGCCGTTTACTCTTTAACTCTAGTTCCAATATGAACCAAATGACCTGCACATAAATGTTAGATTTTCACCAAACACACTTGACAGAAGAAAACTTCCAAAACTTTTGTGTTTCTTTGTTTTGGTTTCATCATTTAGCCTTTTACTGCGAGGACATTCTTCTGACATTCTTCTAACAGCTGCACACAAAATGCTTGAGTACAGTCGGAGGAATAAAGGTTGCCGTTTCCGTTTTTATTTTCTTTCTGCCATCGTCCAACACTTTCACTCCTTCAGCTTCTACACTCATTAAAGTCAGCTAAAGATCTGAAAACATGCCCCAGCCTTTTCTTACAGCCTCTGCTTGTTGAGGCTAAGGGTGGAACAATATCGTTCTGACTGAAGAACCTGTGGGTGGGTGCTTATTCTAATTGGAAGAATGCTATGCAGTGGCAAGACAGGAGAACAGACCTTGCTTTGACATTTTGGTATTTCTTGATATGGCAGGGATTTGAATAATGTCAGCTAGGCATACTGTTGTTTGGCTAACAAGGGAGCCTGGTCAGGACACTAATGAATGTTAGAGAGGAGATGGAGCCAGCTAAAAGCAAACAGAATGGAAGTTGTTGGCAGGCATGAGTAACACACTGGTGTGCATGTAGGAGTCCAGCAACATACCCAACTCCCACCTATGATGAAGGGTATTGCAGTATATCTTCTTTGATCACTTGAACACTAGAAAAGTGGGTCTATCAGACTTTTTCCACTACATATTTTTATCAATCCATCTGTCTTTTTAAACCTTCAATTGTAAGATCTGATAGAGAAGAATAAGGCAGTAGCAATGGCCAGACATGCCTAACTATCGCAGATCAGTAAAGAGATCTGATGTCACAGGGGTGATCTCTCAGAGAGAAAACACTTTGAGCGCTACATGAATGCAACACGCAAACATGAGCCTTGAAGCCATTTCAGCTCTGCCTGTAAATCACAGAGGATCTTGTAAAACCTAGATCTCATCAAACTGAAGAAGAGCCTGTATTGATCTTCTGTATGTTATACTTGCATTTATAGTTTATGAGCACTCACACCTGACTTTATTATTTCTTTCCTCTTTCTTTTTTATTTTATTGACATTTTCCACTGTTTTTCAGACTAATTCATTGATACTTTGTGTCAAAATCTCTACTGTGTTTGCATTTTGCCAAAAGAGGATGTTATTTCTACTAAACCTGTGGTCAGTCAATCATAAAAGCAAATAAATATTTTTAGTTTTTTCTGTTTACCATACTAAAACACATTTTAGTGTAAGGGTTTTCCTTTCCTTCCTTTTTAATTTGCTAAATAGTTTTTTCACATATGTTTTTAGTTTTTAAATTTAATTTCGTCAACTATAATAAATTCGATGCAGAATAATTCATGACACCTTTAAACACAATTCAACAGCAGATATGCCTCACATACTATGCTTGGAAAAAAACAAAACAACTATTCTGTGTAATTTCTGTCTCAGCTTTGAGGCAGGGCGACTGAGCGGTTACACTCCAAGTATATCTATATGTGGCACAGATTCCCCTTTTCAGTTGTATAAGCCATGTTTACAACGACTCACAATCTGTTCCTGTCGATGTTGTTGTTGTAGTTCTTGACACTGCAGTGTGAGCTGAGCAATGATCTTGTCTCGACTCCTCAGTTCCTCTCTGAGCACCTGCACTTCCTTTACCAGCACCTCCAACTAAAAACACGCACACAAACACATACATACACACCCTTATTTAGGAACTAAAAAAAGAGCATAATAAAGTGATAGATCAAGAGATAGATATGTATCATAAACCACATTTTCAGTCAATCTTCACTGTAAACTGCAGTCACAGTTTCTTACCTGTGTTGCAGAGGTACTGTCTTCAGATTCCACAGGAACATCTGCTGGAGTGTCTGTATCCTCAAGCTGGAGACAAACAAACACACACATTCACAAGAGAGGGCACGCACACAGACAGAGAGTACACAGTGAGTTAAATCAATGGCAACTGCCTACAGCATGCCTCAGGAGCAATATTTCACTATGGTGGAATAATTTTACTCTTTAGCACATACACTCCACTGACCCTGAACTGTCAGCCACAAGTGTTAGATACCAGAGGCAGAGTTTGTTTTTGAACTAAAGACATTTATTTTATATCCAAAAATGTCCTTGTATCAGTGGCTACTTGTGTGTTCAACTTTTCCATAAACTCCTACGACATTAATGTAATTATTATCCCAATTATTTAATCAGTGCCATCCGAAGGTTTTTAGACACCAAGCATATGTACTTAAGTGGCTGGTATTTAATGTTTAATGAACATTTTGTCAACTAGCTTGGTAACAATTTTCACTTAAAGGGTACATTCCACTTCAGCCTCATTAATGTTATGTAGAATTATCCAATTATAATCTGCAGGTATAAAGAGAGTTGTGCTGGATTTTAGCCTTTGATTTAGGATTTAGCACAGCTGGAAGCTCATTCTACAATTGCTTTGAGTTCAGGATCATATGAAGAAAGAGCTGCACAATTAAGAACAAAGTTGCTAAAAAAAATATCTTCCCTCTTGAGGCTATACAGCCCAAGTGTTTGACTAATTGCAGCGAGCACGCTGAACAGATCTGAAGGAGACATTTGGATTAAACGTAAACATTACTTTTTATGCTGCTGAGGCTAAATTGAGTCGAGGCATTCGAGATAATTTTGTTTTACGGAGTGTGAAGTGCCGGTGCCGGTGCATTTCTGCGATTGCCTAAAATTGGCTGTGTTTCAATAGAGAGACGATTTTGTGTGTTCATCGTACATGTAAGTGCACATTTCCTCGTTCAGTTTCTTCCATTTCCCTTTTCTTCATCCCAGTCACCCAATCTGTTTCTTTCCTCTAAGTGGATTTCTCTGATTGACAGGGGTGCATCTATTAAGTGATCGCCTTCACAGATGCACATACTGTATACGGTATACAAAATGGAAGCACAAGTGTACTGTTGCACACAAGCCTTTTGAATCACACAAGTTAATTCATTTTACTGAACTGAATTGCAACAATTCACAATGGATGAGGCAATATATGAGCAAAAATAAGACTGGCCCAGTGCATTAAAACAAATAGCAAAGTCTTGTCTTGTCTTTTATGATCTCGCTACACTGCAACAGCTACTGGATTTATGTAATTAGACACAAAAAAATCTCCCTAAAAATACTCAGTGTGGAAACCTGTTAAGAAAACTAGCTCCTTTCAGTTTTATTAAGACCCACTTTTAGTGTGTTCAGTGATATAGTCTGCCCCCAGAATACTGAAGAAGATTACTAAAACTAAACCTACAGAAAACTAGTACAAATGTATAATTTATAGACAGAACTGCAGCCAAAACACCCTCATCCCCATGATAAGCAGTGTTTACAATCAGTGTGGATTATTAAGACCCAAAATAAAAGCCTGAGTCTACTGTTCATGTTAAGGAGTACAAAGGTTTCTGTTATTGGACAAAGAATACTGGACAAATATGCAAGTAAGCGTATCGGTTTTTGTGTTTGCATCTGTGCAAATGTGGGTCGAACCTCTAGTAACGTTTTGAGCTTGAGCAGCTGGTTCTTGAGGAGGCTGCAGTCCTGAGTCATGTGCTCGAGTGCAAGTCCATCTAACATTGGCATGTAGCCATGCTCCCTGCCTTCCTTTCGGGCTGAGTTCTTTGAAGCTCTGAAACCATCATAATGTTGGAAGACATGAGCCCTGAGGGAAAAACAAAAAAACAAAGACAGAGAAACAGTGACATATTCAGTGTATTCATATCTTTTTAATTTGGCTTTTTACAGATTTAGACTCATGTTTTGTTTGGTTTTTTGTAACATTTTTATAACATTTCTTACCCTTTCAAACCTGACTGACCTGGTATCATTATGAAAGTAATCTGATCCACTCCAGCGATGGTGTTTACGCCGCTGCCCCTGCCGATTGGCCCGCTCCGGATGCTCAATATGGGACATCCTATCAGTCTCTATATAGAGAGAATATGAGATGTAGTAAATATACATATATGTATGTCTGGAAGAAGAGGACGTAGGTGATGGTTGGGGATTATGACCTAAAATTTGTAAAGCAACTGTTTGAGATGTAGCCTCGATGTAGAGTATAGCCTTAGAAAAATCACTTCTGGTGATACGGTTATGTTTGTGGGTGAATTTGAGGCATAAAAATGCAAAGATACACATTTTACAACAGCCCTAAGTTACACGCACACAAAACTCTATAATGTATTTAGTCCCTGTCATATGTCAATGTATCACTTCATTGCAAGCAGTAATTTCACCAACTGTTACCTGAAGTCACTGAATATCATTGAGTTTCTGTGATCTATGGTCACTAGATCGCTGCCAGGAGCTTCCTGTGCTGATGAGGGCTAATTCTAACCTTTACTCTAAACTGACCTATCCGTACTCTATCCTTAAAAAAGTGTTTACACTAAAAACTAATCATTTAGTTTCATGGGTTTGCCCTCTAGACCTAAAACAATGAAAAAGTACTAACAATGTAATACAAACATACACAAAAACACAATAGCACAATGCACTACTATGAATGCCCTGTGGTAATGAATACCACTGTGCTTCTTTCAAAAATTTCAAAATATCTGCATGAAAATGATGCGATTATCCATCTCATTCTCTCAACTGTTCCCACTATCAAATGCAAACAACTGCTCTCTCTCTCTCTCTCTCACACACACAAAGTGACAAGCCATTTCATTTTCAAGGAGGTAAAAGGACACAGTATTTGGCAATACTCAATAGCATATAGCTGTGAAATGAACCATAACTGCAACAAAATTGACAACTAACAGAGCGCAACCCCCAGGAAATCAAAAGGACCCTTGACTTTCTATATACCAGATGCTCTTTGGACTGAAGGAAAATGGGTAGAAAGAGATAAAGAAAAAGAGATTTAAACAAATATTGGCAGACTAAAAGATCCAATCTGAGGAATTCAGCAGTTGTGGTTAAAATACTTTACCCAGAGTGTCACCTCATAGCACAGGAGCAGACAGTCTGTCTCACACTGAGCTGCTACATTCCAGGAAAGTTAACCACGTACAGTGACTGCTTTTCAGCTCAGAAAAGCCTAAAACAAAAAGTAAAACAATCTGAATATGTTCCAAGTGTGGGGGGAAAAAATCCGTAAATGTAGAGAAACTCAGATGAAGACGAGAGCAAAATAACTCCTTGTCCAGTCAGCTGGTGAACTGTTAAAAGGCCAGAGAGAAAGTCAACCGAGCTCCCCTCCTGCCTGGCCCAGTCTTTGTTGACAGCCTTGTTTTTCTGGGAACTCCCTAGGAACTGGAGCCGGGGAGAGAGGACTGTGGTGGTGGTGGTAAGAGAGCAGATGAGGTGACTGGTTCGTGTCCAAGCTAGGAAGTCACCAGCTGAGACAGGCAAGAGAGGAAAACTCTGGCCCCTCTTTTTGTCAAGTGACCTGACAGCTGGATGAAAAGATTTTGTGAGGCCTCCTTTATCCTCCACTTGTTTTTTAAGTCCTCTTCTCCCCTTTTGCTCTTCCTGTTTTGAGCCGGGGTGTCTTTAGGAGTAACACCCATCCGTATCCCACATCTCTCGGCCTGCCCTGTGGGCTGGGTCAAACTGGAGTCCTCAGCCTGTCTTGCTTTCACTCTGCCTCACATGACACTAACTTTACCCATGACTTACTGAGCTATAAATATGGCTGCTACCCGAAAAGGATTAGGAAGCGATGACATTCCAGTTCACATTCCTCTAGAGTGTCTCTGTGTCCCTCTCTCAAAAACAAGGAGATCACTCTTTATAGACAATATATATTTTGATGCAAATTTCCTGGGTATGCCAAGTACACAATAAATTCTACGTTCATGAAATTTTTTTTACTTGGAAGCACAGATTCAAATCTAATCTCATAACCTTGCATGTGCACAGGAAAGCATGCACACAAAATCTACATTGCCTTTTAGGAGGTTGAAGGGAGTCTTGTCAGAGGTATTGTGCATTAAACCTATTAGCCTTGAATTCTACTTTGATAAGAATGAGTGATTCAATCTTAAAACCACTCGAGTTCAATAGATTTAATGACATGACAGGTCAATCTCAACCCTTCTCTCTCCTTGTGACAAACATTATCTGAAGAATCCAGTAATAATACTGTCAACAGTATTATGAGGTGGTAATGATGTGACCTGATTACCTTTAACACCTACATAGAAGCTATTTTACTCAATCTTAATGAATCTGGAGTTTGATTAAATTTGCAGTGAAAAGTGAAAATGATTAGAGAAAACAGCCAAGACTCAAGGATCAAGGCAGAGGTGGGTGACGTGCTGTCTGAATATAAAAGCATTAAACTAATCATGTAAAACCATACTGATGCTGTCAAGAGAAACATATGTACAGGCAGGTCTTGCTAAGCCTGTATATCTACTTTGGTTGTGTGTGTACCATATGCACACGTACCAAGTACATGTGCATCTGTTCATCCGTCATAAACACAGCCAAACAGCTGGCTGAAAACTTCTAGAAAGTAGCTCTTATCCAAAGCCAGTTTTATGTCAGACTTGGAGCTGAAATTAATAACTTCATCAATCAAACATTAAAAGAGTCCACCACATTACAGACAACCCTGTATCCATTAAAAGAGTTTGCTGGATGTTTCTGAGGCAAATCTTCACCCAAGGATACAATTTGTTCAAGCCATTATATGCCACATAATGAGACTACTAGAAATAGAAAGTTCTGGCCTTGGCAATGGTTTAATTTACAGTTTTGATCAGAAAAGCTTTGCTGGAAGTATCTGCTTATAAATAAAAGAAACAGTTCTAGCCAATAAAGCTGCAGCAATTTTCATGGCCGTAAAATAACCTTACAAATCTGAATAAGATAACTGCAGTTAGGAACTACATGTCTATGTGTGTATGTCTGCAAGTACTCAGGTGTTCTGACCATGCAAGCCATCCTCTGGGAGGTCCACATCCAGCATGAGGTCATCATCATCCAATTCTCCTGTTGCCAGAGGGTCCAAGTTGTTAAGGATGTCCTGAAAATCACAAAAATAAACACAAAAATTATAGAAAACAAAAGCATTAAATAGCATCACTGTTATATTACTTATATATGAGTGTATTAAAGTTATTATATTAATTTGCTTCTGGGCAAAGTCATTTTTTTGGAGGAAGACCAGCTACAAAACCAGGGAGAGAAAAAAAACAAGGCTGAGATGCAGTTTTTGCCTGTGGTTAATACATCCTTGCAAGCATATTTTTTGTGTGTGTCACATGCTTTTGAAATGGATGCAGCCTTTTATTATTTCTGTTATTTCCAATCTATTTTCATTGGCCAATTAATTCATTTACTAGAAAAAAAAAAAACAGTTAATGCAGCACTATCAATTACCTTGTCTTTGATACCGTTTCAAATGATCGTCTTACTCCAGTGCCACAACAGAAAGAAGATGATCTTATTCCATACATCAAGACAAAGACACCAGAACAGGCTTTCAGAAAAATATTGCCCGTTTATGAATGACAATTCAGAAAGCTTTGAAATTTCAACAAAACACTTCACACAACAGCCTCAAAATATGCAGCTATTCTGATTGCCGTGCAGCTGTCTACCAAATAATTCAAAGCACACCCAAAGCAAAGGAAAGAATCAATAGTTCAAAGCTTTATTTTTCTACAGCAATTTTGTGCCTTACGAAGCTAAATTGACGGGGCTTTGACTAGAAGACAGAAGCATAAAATTACTCATTATTGAATATCTCGTGAGTTGCGCGATAACTGCCTTGTACACAGTGTTTCAGACTTAATGAAGAAGAAATGAATGAAGGAAATAGAATAAACAAAACATATTTTTGCATTCTTCCAAACGGTATCAACCAAAACGTGGGTGGAATCTTTGTTGTTTGAAGAGTCTGTATACAAATCAACCTGTCACTTTTGTTTTTTCTTTTATCATTTCTCGCTTCCTTTTTTCTGATTTTTGACTTCCTTCTCTCCCCCAGCCTGTTGCACTCTTTTCTCTAACCTTGTAACTCCCACCCAGTAAATAAAAGTTTTAACACTAAAGGTAGAGAGAAGAGAGAATTTTTTTTTTTTTTTTTTTTGGGGGGGGGGGAGAGAGATCAGCCACCTCTAAATTTGCACAGTTAGAAATGTATATTAGCACCATAACTGTGACCCAACACTGAGGTAAAGGTAGATCCTTCTTTGCAGCAAGGCATTTTAACTCTTTAGCTATTTGATAGTTTCTCCATGTGTGCGCACAAATCTGTGTGTGTCTTGAAACAACTCAAAACATCTATAAAACAGTCACATAGCAGAGAGAGTAAAACAGCAGCAGCTGGGCTTGTTCAGCTGGAGCACTGGTGTGCAGTAAGAGGCATTTGACAAAACGCACAGCTTTGTACAAAAATTACACAGGAAGCACAAGTTTTTTATGAAGGATGGTGTTAAAATGCATTCAGTATAGACACCTGAACCTTTGTGTGATATTATGCACATTGCAGAATCACCTGTCATGACTCCAATATCAAGGTAAATGAAATGTAAAATTATCATCCACTGAGTAATATAAAATTCCCCCTACATCTTTCATCACTTCCTTCTTTTCTTCTACAGAAAATCATTTGGTTTTATCAATATACTCTACTAACATCAGCAACATATTATGGATTGGTGTTTTCTAAAAGGATACTTTGTCACGTCAAGACGAGGAGCAAGGGACTGAACCACCAAACTGCTTCAGCACCTGAATACAGAACCTCCCTTTTATTGACTGTCCTCAAATTACAGTTTGCACTTCCAGGGGAAATTTCAAATCACACTGGCAGGACCCAACAGCTTAGAGCAGTGAAAAATTCAGGATAATCTCCCAGGAGGCAGGTGGGTGTGCACCCATGTCAGCAGTAGATTGGATTAAGTTATATGTACACTAAAGTCCTCAAGTCCACTAAAGTAGTCATTTATGATGGCAATCCATCTCTGGCACAGATCTGGCCCCAGGTTAATTACTTAAAACACAGACAAAAAGAAGGAGCTTTCACTGTTTTCTGTGTATTAAGGATATCTTGTTGAATGCAATAACCCCTGTGCTCTAGCCAACTACTGTATCATCTTGTTAGGTTAGGCTGAGTATGAGTTTTTAAAACTAATTTGATCATGATGACTCTTAAAAACTGTTTTCTTTAATAATCAATATGAAAGTCGCATGATTTGGGAACCTGCAGATTAAACTGGAAAATCAATCCCTGCTTACATATAGAACGTAGCTTTGAACCTAATGTAGTATTGTTCACAAAAGGGAAAACTATTTGGCTTGTAGCACATGAATTTGACAATTTGATGCGCACATTTTAAACACCAAGTGTTTTTGTCTCCTGCAATACAAACTCTGTAGGATGAGCAGCTTTCGGAACAATAAAAAGCCTCGAGTAGTTCTGCCAACTTAATCTGCTTCACAGTGCTCTGCTTACACAATGACATCAGCTGGATCTTCAAATACACTTCCCCGGATCAAACACTAATTAAAACCGTCAGAGTCACTGAAAAAGGTCAAATGCTAAACTTCTTTCTCTCAGTTTTAGTTATCCCTAAAAAAAAAAAAATCCAAGACTGCCAGCATGAAGAGTTGGAAAAAAAAGTTCATGGTAGAAAACTTCATTGTAACCATTGTAACCATAGCTTCTCATGGTCTGCATGTAAATTAGCCTCATGGCACACAGTGAGTTAAAACCACAAACTACAGATCTGGACAAAGTTCATCTTTGTTTTAACATTTTAAAAAGACAAACCTCGGGGCAAGATAAAATTTTCAAACCAACAGTTGCCAGGGTGAAGTTGTAGACTGACATTTTTTGTGGTTTTTTTTGCCTCTTTCAATCCATATAAAGTGAACTGCTATCCTGTGAGGAAATCCTACATTGCTTACTTTGGCAGGGTAGCCAAAACAGATCTTTACTTTTGTACCTCACAAAATAGCATCTGAAGAAAAACACTGTGTAATCGCAGCTTAAGAGTCAATGCAGTGCTGTTTCTTAAAAATGGGCTGGCACTGCATGGGTATCTATTGTTACGTGTGTGTGTGTGTGTGTGTGTGTGTGTGTGTGTGTGTGTGTGTGTGTGTG